AACAAGTTCATATCATCTTTTTTGGATGACATCAAGGTGTTTGAGCCACGCGATGCCTTCAACATTATGCACGGGACAAACAAAATGCTTTCGGTCGATGAAGAAAACGGCAGTGATAAACCTCAGCATCAATTTGGCAATGGCAAGATCACTGATGCCTACTGTACTTTCAAGGCTGGGTAAGTTGGGCATTCACCGTTTTCTAGGTTACTTTTGAAATCAGTGGATGTTCCTGTGAATTTTACTACCACAAATACGATCAGGATACTTGACATCACCGTACAGATACCCCACTGGCAATGGAGAATCATTCTTCTTCGATTGTTGATGCAAAAACTTTGTGCCAGTCTGCTAGTCCACAATACAGTCTGGCGCTACATGCACATGTTTTTACTAATGCATGTACATTAGCTTGTGTTTGTGAGATGGCCACGCATGTGGTAGCTGCGCTACTACGTAGATTGGGTATCAGCCAATGAAACGCAGGCCCTGTGGTAAGGTCCAAGCCTACCAGCATCATCAATTAGCACGCCTCTGCCTCAGCCAACCAGCACCTAATTGCTGCTCCGCCCCAGCCAATCACCATGCAAGATGCAAAATGGCAAACAAACACTGATCCACCAGCTTCTTGTGCGCTATTTCTAACTGTGACATTCAGTCAGCTAGTTCAGCTGCCTCATTTCTGTCAGCAATCCCGTTCCTTCCGTCCCTGGTCCGCCCCGCAGAAGCACCTTTCGATCGTCCTACCCTTCTTTCATGGCTCATATCCATTTGTTCTGATTATCTGTGCTATCCATAAATCCATCCTACTTTGTCATAATGCGCATGTGCACATAGATGGTATGTCACATACTGCTTACTCAGCATATTTCTTATAAATACACCCTACCTGTGGAAGTTTTGTTTCATGTGTTTTATTTAATCGAAGATCATTGTTAGCATTATTTAATTTATCTGATTCATGGCTTTCATTAAGCTGCTTGCTCTATTACCTTATCTTTTTGCTGACAAGCAGCTTGCAAATATAGGGGCTTTAGTTTGCCGTATTTCTGACTACTAGTGCTACCTTGTGAAATTTTCCTATCGTAGCACGGATAGATAGCTAAGTCTATCTGTCAGTGTTACGCGTCCAAAACTGCTACCATCATGTTTACAAATACAAAACTATAGCGGGTTGTGTAAATGTTTAAAATATTGGATAAGATTATCTGAGTGACAGGACTGAAGTAGAAGCATAGGAGTTATGCTCAGCTTAACATTGGAACAATTTATATACATGACAAAACCACAAGAAGATTGCTTCCTTCATCTGAATAATCTACCCATTTAAATGAAAAGCTGTAGATGTATGCGCTAATCCTTTTACTAGAATATCCTACCTGTTAAAAATATTTTAAATATAAAGGTGTTTGCAAGAACAAAACAGTATGTTTTCACTGGAATTAAATTAAATGCAGACACAGATCACTGGAGATCTATTTGTGCAGTAATACTTTGTATGTCTCTTATCAGATGCAGCACATGTCCACCAAACTGTGCAGGTCACTGAAACAATGAAATATGATTAATATAATATACACTAATGGAACACTGCTATTACACAGCTTCAATCCCACTTGGTATTGCTACTAAAATATATTGAGAAGAGTTTAATAATAATAAAAGATTGTAATTATTATTTTTTTTTAACTATAGGGACAAAATAGCCCACAAAACAACATATTTTGTCATGAGTAACTGCCAAAACAGGACTTGTTTATAGTTGCAATGACTTTGCAGATGGCAAACAAAGCTATTTACAAGTTGCCTGTCTTGTAAAGTAAAAACATTTAATAATATAGCAGCTTAATGAAAGCCAAGTATAAAATAAATTAAAGAAAGCTTACCATAATCTTCGATTAAATGAAACACATGAAATGATACTTCCACAGGACTGATGTATTATAAGAAATCTGCTGAGTAAGCAGTATGTGACGCAGCATCAATGTGCGCATGCGCATTACCACAAGGTTGGATATATTTATGTGTAGCACAAATAAACAGAACACCTATTCATCTCTCCCAGCTCACCTCCAGGTGAATGCCACAATCAAACCGCACGCTCACTTCCAGGTGTCTCAGCTCGCAGCTGGCTCTTCAGGACCTCGATCAGCCAATTAAAGATCTTTTGTCCTATCAACCTTCCGGTCCACTCTGGTTTTCCGGTTCTGATCTGCTATTAAGGGCAACAATTCAACGGCGACATTCTCTATCCAAGTATAGTTTCTCAGCAGCTGTTTGTTCTCCTTTCTGATAGCCTTCAGTCAATGGGTGAACATCCAATTTTGATAATCAATTAGTTTAGAATGCTCAAAGGGACAATGCAGGTCGCACATCTATGCCTCTTTCACGCAATGCTCCATTTTACTTTTAAGTCGGTGAGCTCGGCTCTGAACACCTACGTCTCTCACTCGTGAAGTCTCTAGTCTGGTCCTTAAATTTCTTAAATCCAAGATTTATGTGAATTCCCCTCGGCCATTTCCAGGCCTCACATTTAGTAAATCACAGGTAGCCTGATGGCTGGTTCAGTCATAACCCAGTTGTCATAACTCAGCGGAATCCTTTTCTGGTATCCTCCCAGACCGCTCCTCTTTTCTCATCGCCCTCATTCAATGGTAACAGTCATAACAAATCAGTGGAGTGTTACAGCAATTCTAACTTCCATTTCTGCTGAAGTGGACAGCCTGCAGATCCCAGCCACCGCCGCACCGAACAAGTTAGATCGTGGCCTGGACTCAGGCCGGCACTCTCTTTTGGGGAGAAGACTAATCTGAGCTTCGCCCCAAGCCAATCATCCATGCTTGTGGCGATTGTCAGCACCCAAGTCTTCTGTTGGTATCCAAGCGCCAAAACTTTTGGGCCAATAAAACTTTCTATCTCCTACTTTTCTCTGTACAAGTCTCTGAGGATTGAATTATGCTTTTCAAAAACCTTACTTTAAATGGTTCTATTTAAGTGAAGAATGCGTGCTTGAGCTATCTGTGAATTTTTCACATCTTTGATTCTGCTTGAGTCAAAGTAGAATCAAGCAGTACTATCCTTGATAGTAGAAAAGTACTATCAAAGTAGAAAAGTACTTGCTCAAGGAAAACCGAAAAGCCTGCGTAAAGCACTTTGTACAATGACAGCATGAGTGTCCTACAGTACCAGATATCATACCAGTCCCACTTTCTCCAACATAGGGTAAACACTGATTTTTTTTCTTTAAAGAAATTTCTCCTTTCTCAGAAATATTTGTCTCCATCTTGGAATTTCATTTAATTTTTTATGTGTTTTAAATGTTTTGAGTTTTATTTTATTAACTGAATAATTTTGGATTTTTTCCCCAAATATAAACTTTTTAATTGCCTCTGATGACCTCAGTATAATCTCTTCATTTTTAGAAATTGTGATGGAATGAAAAGATTTTCCCAAAATTATTTTAAAGAGAGTAAAGTAGCAAAATTTGAATAATTGCATATTATTCAAATAGAAAAAAACATTACTCAGCAGCTTCCAACCAACAAGGCTAATTATCATTAGTTTCACATCTTTGCTAACTAATACCATGTTTATATTTGGAAGTCACTGCATACCTTTCCTTTTGAATACTTTCACTCATTAACTATTACATCTTGTTGACTGATTCCGGCCTTCTAACTGGGCCTTTCTACTGAGAAATATAAAGTAGTTAACAAAACTTAACATTTGAGAACAATTTATATAAGTCAAAGGTAAAATTTTGTTTCCATGAGAAATTGTATGTATGTAAACATTTAACCATGTATGTCTCATTAAGATTAAAAATCTGTCTTTCAAGAAAGACCTGGGCAAGACTGGCAATACACCAACAATTAAAAAAATGTCATAACTGCCATGCACACTCATTTTTAGAAACATGTTCTTGCAAAGAACTGGCTGATTTAGATGGACAGTTGCATGTCTGCAATTGCAGGAGAGATTGTGTAATTATGATTACCTCTTTTTGAAAACACAGCAGTTTCTGTCTTGTAGAGTACACAGTCTTCCAGGAAATTGAAATTCTTCAACAAATTAAAACCATCCATTAGGCTGGCACCAAAATAACATTTGAAGCCATTATTGCACAATGAATGGATAATAACTCACAGTGCAGCAGCCTTCATGTTTATGGACACATCTGACAAAGATTATGTAAAAGCCTTAAACTATTAACCAAAGCATGTGAATGCATGCCTGTATGGGGGTGAATGATTTCATGGAAAGTGTCTCTGACTGTACAGAAAAGCCTTAGGTAAGACTGACGTCATGCCATTACATTTCAGTTGAATTGAGACAAAACAGATTTTTTTCTATATTTATCTGGGACATACTGAAAATAGCACCTCTGACGTAAGCGTTGTAATAAAATCAGAGCTACTGAAAAATGCAGAAAAGAACTGGAATTGCACCATTCCTTGCATTTGTATTTATTTGTAAAGTTGTATCTTTAAATTTGAGATCAAAATAAAAATACCTGCTTTGGAAAGATATAAAAATGAAATGGCATTGTATTCATCTTCATAACTTAGGAAATAACTAAGCGAAAACAGCTCCACAAAACCCAGCCACATCAACAGACAGCAATAAGTAAAAATAACCTGATTGTTTCTCAATCAGGTATATACAGTGAGGAACAGGGACAGGGGCAAGGACATAAAATTATAACTGGGAAACATTATGTGATCAAGAGCTGATTTTAATGGCTTCTTAAACAGAGGTCCCAATAAATGTGGAGGGCACAGTGAGCCAATGAGAACCAAAAACCTTCCTTTTGTCACTGTATTTTGACATATTTTCACAAGTTTTAAATGGGGGTTGGTGGGTGAAGATACGGAGAATGTGTAGCCCACTGTTCCTCAAAAACATATCGGTCCCGCAGTTTCCCGCACCGCAGACCGAGCCCCGGACTGGGGCCCCAAGCCCCGGTCCTTGGCCCTTACAGTAGAGCTGGGCTCTCTTACCTCTGGTAGTCTCTCCTGCAAAACAGTTTGCTGTCTCGGAAGTAGCAGGTGGCAATGAGCGGCTGCTGGCACGCTGCGCACTGCAGGCAGTCCTGGTGCCAATACGCGCCGTTGACTCGCATCAGGAAGCGGTCAGAGATGAATCGCGAGCAGCCCTCACACACCGCCAGAGGAGGAGAGTCACACCCTGAGAAACAACCGGAAGAACACAATGTCAGCCTGCAGGCCACGCTCAGCAGCCCTGTCCCGCTGCTGAGCTGTATGTTCATCAACACAAATCTGGCAAAAACAGGTCAGACACCCCGAGCTTTATTTATGGGGATGTTCTTCGAAGTCTACGCCAACTTTAATATGGCAAGCGAAACGTAAAGGCGTTGTAGGGCATTATTCTTTATTTATACACAGCAACCATTTTCATATAGAGTGACCATGCTGCTATATAAATATGCTCGCCATGTGAAAGCTACCAAGATTCAAAACATGAAGGCTATGCAGAAACTACAAAGTGACGTTTCTGTCTTTGATCAGGTATCCATTTGGGGCGTGCGTCTGCGTTCATTGTAAAATAGATGTGCGCCTTCAGATACAAATAATGAAGGTAAATATATATATATAGCTATATCTTCTGGATCCAACACTAATCTGTGGATTCCCTGATTGTTTGACCTCAGTATTGTTGTGTGTGTAAGGTTTTAAGAAAAACCTTACACATACAACTATATATAAATATAAATCTCTCTCTATATATATATAGATATATAAATACATTATTTATAAATCAAGATAAAGTAGGTGCTGACAATTTATTTCGTCTTTGAATATAGATTTCAATAAGAAAAGCACAACCATTTTGTCTCTACCTTATCATGTTATTTTATTATGTAGAAAAATAAAAAGCAAGCAAAAAAAAAAAAAAAACTTGCAGGCCTTTATCTGACTTATGATTCTACTTTTACGCAAAATGAGTTTTTCGCAATACCTGTTTCTATGTTCTTTTTTTTTTATATAAAATTTAACTAAGAACTTTCCCGAACATCTTCGTCAAAATAATAAAATAACAAACAAGTTGTTTTGTGGTAAATATTAGTTTCTGGGTTTCATAATAATAATAATAATAATTGCTATTATTATTATTATTATTATTATATTATTATTATTATTATTATTATTATTATTATTATTATTATACGGAACAAAAATATAATCGCCTCATGTCAAATATTGTTGCCTTGGGGAGTTAACAACTGTAAATGAGTATTTGCTGACATTTTATTATACAGAAGTAATATTTCTCTTGATTTTTTTCAACCCAAACTGCTGTCAGTGAGCAGTAGTCATTGAGTTTTTGTTTTCTACTGCCTGCATGGGTGGATCATGTCCAGTGGCTGATCAGACAAAATGAGCAACATCCGGCTAGTCCATCTGCGGGATCGGCAAAAAACCAGCGGCACACACAGCTGATGAGACTACTGGTCTGGACAACAGACGCCTCACACCTCAGACTGTCCGTAACCGCAAAAGAGAAGCCAACTTGCTCGACAATTCCTCAACCTCATGTTCAAAGGACTGTCAAGCCGCTTCAAATGGCCATACCACGATGATATCAAAGCCGATATGAAGATCAGTAATTACTGAAAATATATTTTGAGTTTCTCTATATATATTACATAATCCAAATGTTCAAAATACTGTTATATTTGACATGGGATGTTTGCATTTTTTTCAGTGTATTGTGTAATACTACTACTACTAATAATAATAATAATATTATTATCAATAATAATTATTATTATTATTATTATTATTATTATTATTATTATTATTGTTACTAATAATAATTGTATTTCTTATTATTATATCTTTTTTATGTCCATCACCATCAGTATACACGCTTAATGAGTTTTAAATGACTATTGTCTCTGTCCAAATAACCACAAAAAAATGCTTAAACTAGAATATTTGACCGGCTGCAAAATGAAACAGTTGCTGTGCGGGAGCTTTCTTCTCCGTGCTCATTTGTCTGAGCAGTGAAACTAACTCCAGAGCAAAGAATCATGTCAACTCACCAATCAAACAGCGCAGAGGGCTGGCATCAGTGTGTAGTCGTCGATCTTCTTTTTTAACATCGATCAGCATGTTCCCATCCGCAGCAAAGACAGTTTTGCTGACCACCTCGTGCCTCACTGTACGCGACACACTTCTTGCAGTTTCCATAAACGGTCCGTTCCGGCTCTGTCCAGGTCCTCCTAATATCAACTGTAAAACAAACCCACTGAAAATACTACTACTACTACTACTACTACTACTACTACTACTACTACTACTAATAATAATAATAATAATAATAATAATAATAATAATAACAATAATAATAATAAACCTTTGTCCAACTTTAGCTCTCCAATTTAAGAAGGTCGAAAGAAAGCCAAAAGGTTCGGAGTGAAGGCCTTGAAGCAGTACTTCAGCCTGTTCTGTTCCTCAGGAGGGGAACAACTGAAGCCCTCCTCCTCCTCGTACTCTTTTTCCTCTTCCTCCTCCTCCTCTTGTTCCTCTTCCTCCTCCTCTTCCCCCTGCTGCTGCCCACCGCAAGTTCTGCTGGGGGTGGATCCGCATTTATCTGCAGCAAAAAAAAAGTCAATATATATCTGCTGTAAATTTCACTAGATTTATTTATTTATTTATTTTATATTTCTATTTTTCATTTCACGTTTTTAACATTGTATTGGTTATTTTTATGTCGATGTAACGATTTCTTATCTTACAGACTTGGTTTGTCTTTGTAAAATTGCGAACTGTTTTTAGAGGCCGAGTAGAGACTAATTATCTATCTAAACAATAATCTAAAGCAAAATCCAAACTTCTGCTAACCATTCAGAACCAATTAAACACATTTGAATCTCTTCTTGTTAGCAATCAAATCATATTTCGTGACTAAGAGGACCGAGCACCCGCTTTCACTGATTAGACCTAACGTCAGGTAGCCTATTGCCTGCATTTGTGCGGTTCCGGATGTAAACGTTGTGCGTAATGGTTAGTGGACTAGTAAGAAGCGCAATCTGTGTGCATGAACTACACAGAGCCGAGATTAAATGAAAATGTTAATGAGATCCATCTGTCTGCCGTCCTCACGCTCGCTTTTCCATGTCAGATCAAAAAAATGGTTTTATTCATTCCAAAGAGAGCATACAGCCTATTTGCGTAGTTAATTAAGAAAACCCAAAACATTAAACATTTCATAAACCTTTGCCTTCCCTGAGACACAGAATATCAAAAATATCAAAAATGTAGCTAAAAAATTGATGAATGCACATAGAGACACATATGCTAGGATATCTATCTAGCATATCTATCTAGCATAATATAGATATATCTATCTATATATCTATCTATATTATCTATCTATAATATAGATAGATATTATTTATCTATCTATCTATCTATCTATCTATCTATCTATCTATCTATCTATCTATCTATCTATCTATCTATCTATCTATCTATCTATCTATCTATCTATCTATCTATCTATCTATCTATCTATCTATCTATCTATCTATCTATCTATAAATAGATCTACCTACCTACCTACCTGTCTGTCTGTCTGTCTGTCTGTCTACGTGGTGTTCAAGCTTTTATTTCTGTTATTTATGAGACTTGTCTGCTTCCTGCTATGTAAACATAAATATTTGGTAGTATGTGTGCTGTTCTTCTTATTCTTTTAATCTGACTAATGATCTTCATTGGCGCATCCTGATGAAATGGAGCAGCCAGCACGCCAGCAGAAAGCGTTCCTGGTTGGGAGCATAAAATTGAGGCGGTGTGATTTTCAGTTAGGATCGTTTCACATTTCTGATTCTAATGTGAGAGTGAATGGACTGCAGAGTTCAAAAATAGACTGGATTAAAAACAGCATGAGGAGAGTTGTAAATATGGCTAATATTATTTATTGAAAGCATCAACTGCCATCTTCTGGTAGAAAAAAGTTATTTTAAAAAGGTAAGAAAATTGAAGAATTAACATATAACTGAATTCAAATGTTCATCAGATTAATCATAAAATTGACCTTCTCAGCCTTCAACTAAAAGTGAATTACCTTTTCTTTGATTAATTAAAATTTTCCACTAATACATATCAAAGTTGTAGTAATGAGTATTAAGATCTTGGAAAAAAAACATTATCACCTCTTAAAATCTTGCTCCAATTTATTTTCTAAATATGCAATTTTAGGGAGTATGAAGAAAATTAATTGAAGATCTGGGTAGACCCACATACATGCTCAGTGGTGGTAGGCTGCTGCTACCACCATTGTTATTATATTTTTTTAAAATAAAACACCAATTCTTGGCTGTTTTTTGTTATTCAGACACAATGCCAGAGATTTAACTATTAATGAGACAGTTTACACCATATTTAACAGCTTGTATAAAAATATATCAAGACAAATCAGAACAGAATTATGAAATGGGAAATATAATGATATTGTATATTTCTTAGAGAACATCAGAGAACAAACAGCATCATTAAAACAAACAAGCAGAAGGTCAGGATGGAAGTTGTGAAAATGACAAAGCAAGATGAGGTTACAAAACAATCTGAGAAAAATGATAACATCATGTCAAATGTATTTGGATATATGGCTAAAAACATCTAAAATTGATAGAAGAGTGAGATTAAAAAAAATCTCCCTCCTATTAAGTTTGTTGTAAATCTGTCTGGAGTTAATAACATCTAAAAAGGATAGGAGAAGAGTGAGATAAAAAAAAAATCTGCCTCCTATTAAGTTTGTTGTACATCTGTCTGGCAATTTCTTTATATAATAGTCCACAATTAGTGCTTTGATAGACCGTGCTGTGATGTGGTGTCTGTGTTTCCACCGTTGTACTGGAACTTCCTGTATTTATGTCACATGTGAATCCTATAAAAGATCAAACTGGGTCTGAAAGCTTTATTGTTGTTACAAATCCAGGCCACTTAATTTCACAGTGTTGTATGTCAACTTATAAAAAACACATCTGGTTCTCAATGATCTAAAAGTGAAGTAAATTCAACTTCAAATTACTCTTTGTAGTTATTCAATTGACATAAATGAAGCCAAAACACAGAAACTGTCAGGATCTTGGGTTGTTTGAGTTTGTTTTGGGCTTTATTTGTGTTCCTTGCTTCTTTCTGCATTGTTTCTATTTTATTTTAGTTCCTTCTTACTGATTCTAGTTATTATTATGTTTATTCCTGGTATCTAGTCCTAGTTACTCTAGTTTTTACTATATTTCTTAGGTATAGTTATAATTTACTCTTAGCTTTAATTTCCTAGTGCCTCAGAATAATACAGGGGACAATTCTCCCTTGTCCCCTGTGCCATTTTTTTTCTCTCTCACCTTAGCCTGCGTGCTGCTCTCTCCTCTCACACCTACAACCAGTTTCTGTTTCTTGTTCAGTAATCAACAATCAGGGTATGTACACATTTCATTTCCAGTTCTTCCTAGCTTGTTTCTCCCGTCTAATCCCATTGCTTCCTGTGTTCTTGTGTACTTCCGAATCTCCTTGTTGGTTTTTTCATGTTGGATTACTTTTTGTTTCCATCCTGCCTTTGTAAGTTTGCTCATCATTTTTTTCATCAAAACATTTTTTTCAACCTTATTCATGCTCCCACCTTCTGTCTGCATTTTGGTCCACCATCAAAAAAATCACACCACATGATTGAAACAGTAAGAGAAAGACAAAAAGTCACTCTTCCTGTTTCCAGATGATTCAGCAGAGTCAACAGCAGGAACCTCTGTATATGGCAGTCATGGATTAATAATTCACCAATGGGTGTGGACAGCTTTATAGTATGGCTTATTGCAGCTTGTTGATCTATATCATACAGGTGTTTGACAACACAATGTTAGGGAGGGCATAGATTAGTGGTGATCAAAAGGAAACATCTGTTGATATTTCTCAGTCTGGGAAGAATTGTGTGAAACCATGGAGAACACTCAGTACAGCAACATGTCTTCCTAGCAGTGAACCTGTCACTTCACTCTGAGCTCAGACTGAGATATGACAGAGACAGGAAAAAGCTACATTTGACACACTATCTCACAGCTTGATGAATATTACAGTTCTTGTCCATAGCACTAAGAAAAGAACAAACTAGGACGGCTTCAGAAGAGGCAGTGCATGTTAGTCACTGATTATTTGTCCTGAATTTAATTTTTAAACTATAAATTGGATCAAATTATACTTTTGAATAGTAATAGTAATACTGTTACATAAAAATGTTTGGGCCTCCAGTTGGATGAATTATTGCATCAATGCAGCATGAGTGAATGAGATTAGCCAGTGGTTGTGCCAAGGTGTTCAGAAAGTCCAGGTCATCTGCCTTCAGGTCATCTGCCTTCAGGTCATCTGCATTGTTGGTTCTGGTGTCTCATCTTACTCTTGACCATTCTCAATAGATTCTCTATGAGTTTCAGGTCAGGCTAGTCTGCTGGCTAATCATTGAAGCTAGCAGAATGGGAAAAGGTGCAGCAGCTGGGTTGATCACAGCCTTGGGAGGTTACAATGAGTAGACTGAAGCTGGAGTCGGTGAATTAAGAGCTAATTCTTTTGCTGCATCTCAGTGTGGGTCGGTACCAAGACCTCCTGAAAAATAAATTCAGAAAAGAAACAAGAAGAAAGAACAGAAAGTCAGCTGTCAAGAAAACAGTCATTGAACATTGTCATGCTACATATTTAATTACATATTTAACATAAAACTGTCTCCTTTCCCCTCCAACTGCTTAAAGAAGGCTGTTTCATACCACAGCCTATAAAACATTTAAGACGCATCACACAGACAACATGCTAAAAATTATGTTTACGACATCAGCTCCTGTTTATTTCCCATGACAACATTTTACAACTTTGACAAAAGTTACTTTTATCTGAAATGACAGCACTCAATGTGTGGGGCACATTTGATCAAAGACTCTTCAGTATTTTCCCCATTTGTATACATGTGCCTCATTACTTTGACAGGGTGTAAATGGTATTTGATGGTTCCCCACATTAGGTGTGCTGTGTTTCTTTCTTTAACCATAAACTTTTCATTAAACAGCTGTTGAGCAAACAAGCTCTATAAGACCTTAACAAGATGTCACATGAACACAGTTTTCTCTTCCCTTCACTTTATTTGGGTAGCTCAAAGTCACAACAGAGGCCATCTCCCAATATTGACATAAAAAAAAACACAAACATTTTCTTTCATCATTTCAGTCACTGGCAGAGTGCAGGTACAACTAAAAAAAAATAAATGTCATGACAAAAAAGGTAACTTTTCAGAAAGTGAAAAGAGTGACAATTTCTGAACAGTGTCACTCAATATGTATAATGAGTGATGTATAGAGTGAAATTCATTATGTATAGATTATGTATATAAACCTCCAGCTGCATTATATAATTCATGCAACTGGAGGCTCAAACATTATGTGTAGAGTATCTCAAT